TTACATTACACTTTGTACAGCAAAAGGGCACTCACATTTCCAACTTTTTAATTTCAGTACAGTATGGAAAATACAAAAATTACACATCACAATAGAGTGCAAAAATGCATCAATACAAAAAAAAATCATTTGCTGTAGAAACCAAAAATAATACATTGTACTGTAATGCAGTAACACTACAGAGCTACACTAAAGACTCCATCCACCTCACTGGAAGTCCTGTCACTCCTGTCTTTCTGGCCACAAATTTTCATTGACATAACACCTGATATTTTCCCTTGATATGCAACGGGGGAAAAATCTTCTTGCGTACCACAACCATCCCCTGCAATGTTCTGCTGTGATGTCATTACAAGCCTCATCCATTGTAGCAAGCAGTGACATTTGGTCTTGAGGTCAATGGTCATAGGCTTTCCACTTCCATGCAGAAAAGAATTCTCCAGTTGGATTCACGAATGGAAAATATTGTGAAAGGCACTCCATCTGCATCCTTTGGTGAAGAGCAAACTATTCCCTGATGATATTTGTGCTGTGCAAAATTTGGCAAGTCATGTCTTACCAAACCTCTCTCATTGTCAGAGATAAGATCTCTGTATAGGGTGTCCAAGAATGTCAGGAGATGTTGGGTGTTGTCTGGGCCAATATTGGGAACATGTGTACTCACACCATTCTCAGATATTGCAGCTCACATTGTTATATTGCCCCCGTGTTAGCCTTGTGCATCTACTGTGGCTCAGTGGCCTATGACATTTCAGCCACGTATGTTGCCTGATTGAACCCAGCCTCATCCATGAACACAAGGGTGTGAGGGATTTCACTTACAAAAATTATATTACAAAAATTCGATTTCAGTGATATTTATGGAATATATATGCCTGACAGATTTTGACAACTGAATGTACTATAGTGCATGTGGTTACTTACACAATGAAAGAATACATATATGTTTTGGAGAGTATGACTATTTCACTGAGAAGCAACACATCAGTTTTGATCAACAAGACATATACATTTGGTAATTGTGCAAATTGTAGACAATTGTTCTTATTCATTTGCATAGATTCAAATCTGTTGTGAACAAGTGACCAGTGGTGTAGAGGTTTACACATGTTGCTTTGAAAATATTATTTATCATTTGAGAATTGGGCCAAAGCAATTGAGAAAAACGCTCTGGTTTGGTAAGAACAAAAACCTGCAGCCTCAGATATTCTTTATGGATAAGACTGGACAAAACTACAGAATATAAATTCTACATCCTATTTTGGTATTTGCCAAGTCCTGCAATAAGATAAGCAATGTTGCTTGTTCCTTGAATGCTTATGTTTGGTTTCTGATTAAACTTTGAATTGTGTTTCTGAACTATGTAATATTATCAGTAAAGTTCAGCACACATGCTGGAATTGTCTCAGCACAGTCGTATGAGTATCATATTATATTATATAATGAGTAATACTCACGTTTCTGCTTCTTCAGGTCACTCTTTTTCAGGCCATAAGAAACCCAGCCAAAGCTGAAAACTTCTCAGTTTTTGTGGATTCTTCTGTGCAAAACCTGACAATTTACATCACAGGCAACTCTCCAAATTACTTCTTGACTAGTCCATCAGGTGTGTAGATTGTTATATTAACTCAAAATCACATTCTGAGATACCACAACACTCAGAAACTAATGTAAGGTCAATATTACACAATACTATTCTAAGCTTTTGTAATGATGCTATCTATTGTCTAACCCAGGAGTCTCACAGAGCAGCACTGAACTAAATGGTCAGTTGGGGCTTATTCAGAGAGTTGGTAACTTCCATACAGTGCAACCAAACATCTCGGAGCAGACTGGACTGTGGCACTTCAGTATAAACTCAACACAGCCCTACACCATCAAAGTTGTTGGTAAAATGAGTTCTCTTTGTAGCTCTTTCCTAAATAAATAAATGATGGAAATAAAATTCTGTTAATGGTTATGAAAATGTTCAGTATGAGTAATTTACACTGTGTGCACAATTATTAGGCAAGTGAGTATTTTGACCATATCATCATTTTATCCATAATTTCCAACTCCAAGCTGTATAAACTTGAATGCTTATTGGAATTAATGCATATCAGGTGATAGTATTTGTTTGTAGGGTGTAGGGTGTGGCCTAAGGAGATCAACACCCTATATCAAGGTGTGCATAATTATTAGG